ACTTTTCCCATATCGACATAGTAGAAAACAACATGGTCCTTGCAATAACACTTTGACAACAGTACTGCTTATACAATAAGCTTATATGATAAGCATTGTATTATGAGGACGTGTTTGCATAAAAACCTGAGAAAAATGTTTTTCCTCAGTTCCTTTCGAAATAAATTAGACTTTTTTTTTTTTTTAAATAAATAATCAAATAAGAGAATTGAGGAAATGTAAGGGAGAAGATTGGTTCTACTAAGGACCATGATCATAGCTTTGCATCTGTATGTATAGCTTTAGTTGTTTCACAATTTTTCAGAGTTTAGTGCAAGTATTTTTGTCATGCATTATCTCCGAGTGATTATAGGGAAAATGCGCTTGATTTTTTTGAATGGCACAGAGGTGTTATAGGTAGACAGAAGAAGGCAAGATACAAAGTAAGAATAGATTAGGAAAGGGACTGACAAGTAATGAAGGATGCAGAGACAGCAGATGTGGCATGAAACTCCCATCAGAAATATAAGCAAGAGCCAAACTAAACAGAATTTTGAGTATGGACTTGGATTGGTTTGGGACCTCTGCCTTTTCGCTACTGTCTGTCCTGTTATGACAAAACCAAAATCAGCAAAGACACTCAAACTATAATTCCTCTGGCTGCAAAGGTAGAGGTGTGGATGTATTTTTATGATAGCTACACAGATGCTTCGGAGGCTTTTCAGTTTTTTATTCTCTTTCTTGCCCTCTTTTCCAAAATAGTCTGTTGTTGCTAAAACCTGACTTGTCAACTTATCAGTGGCTAATGAATTACAAAGGACAGTCCTGAGGATGCCGACAAATTCTCTGTTGGATGTTTTTTGTTCATTCCTTCTGTTTGTATCTTTCTGCTTTTCATGGTTTTTAAGAGAATATGTCTATGTATATATTTAGTATAGATCCACCTTAGAGCAAGGACTGACAACTGAAGAACTATGGGACCTTTTCTTTTGTTTAGTAGTCCTCTTCAAAAGCCCGTTTGCACAGATAATGTTTCCAACTTGAATCTGAAGTTACTGTGGATATCTTTGAATAACTTCCCCAATTTAGGCCAGGGAAACAAATGTAACACAAGTGCAGCATTGCACCATTGTGCATTGTTCCATTTCATTTCAGCTGTTAACTTCTGACTTTCTAAAATAACACATAATTTCTCTGTACGTGAAACTTGCTTATATGCAATATTTGATTAAACTGAAAAAAAATACGTTTCTAGACAGTGTAACCTGTGTGATTCTGGCAGAGAGATATATACACACACGCACTCACTCTCTCTTAAAAAATAGTTGTTTTATATATATAAACATATATATATTAAAATTGGGATACTTTTTTGTATGTATTCAACTAATCTCGTTAAGGAGGTACACCAATTGTACATGGATCATTGCTTATGCAGAAAGTGGTTGCAACATAACAGGTAGATGTGTATAGTTACTGTTGGCAAATCCTGTGTTTTTAACAGTGATTGCTGCATAAGCTCCTGAAGGTTATTCTAGAGTTATTACATTAATTTTGTTCTTGTCTGCACAAATGGAGAGTGTCAGCATTCCTTACACTACCCATAAATTGATATTCCTAGCCAAGACAAATGCAGTATCTAATGGTAGAGTGATAGTAAACAGCATTATTGTCAGTTTTAAAAACCGTGCTTCATGATACATCATCCCAAATAGCCCAAAACCCCCAAAGGTGTCTCCAGAACAAGTCTCCTTGAAATGTTTTTCAATTTTACACTTCTTAATTTTTAAAAGGAAAAAATACCACAAAGCATTGTGCCTGTCTGGTTATTCTGTATCTACATTTTCTTCTCAGGAATTAGTTCATTACAATTGCCAAGTTGTTTAAGTCTTTATGAACTGTTGAGGCACTTATTGTCAGTGGGAGAAATTGCAAATGTGTGTGTAGTGTAAGAAACTGATGATTAAATCCCTCACATTGAAGTCATTCTGGAAAGGTTAATTAGAAACTCTTCAGAACACAAGGAGGAGAACATCCTCTCTTCATACTTTTTTTTCCCACTGAGCTCCTACAACCTCTTCTTCAATTCTTATTTTTATTTCATAGTGTTGTTCATTATTAGGTAAAAGCCCCCAACTATTCTGCTGCCCGCTACGTCTGTGTCCCAGCCATATTCGTCTTCCCCTGGATCCTGGAAGACTTCCTGTTTTCATTGTTCAGGAATCTTAAGATGATGTAAAATTTTTGTATTACGTATGTATGATTTCCTTTGGGATATAAATGCTATACAAATAGGTATTTTTCCATGTTAACCTTTTGGATTGGGTTTTCTGGTTGAGTTTTTTCATTTGTGTAGGCAACTTACACAGAGTACAATCCTCTTAGTAAAGCTCTTAGGAAAGCTTTAATTCAGAAGATGATTTAGCCTGATGTTTCTAAAGCTGTTAGAATGTTTCTGGGCTATGCTGTAAAACTTCTCAGTGTTGTGAAAAACTCTAATATATTGAATGTGATGAGAGAGCAATATACAAACCTGCCCTCATTTTCTATTTTGACCCTGTGACATGCTATTTTGGTTTTCTTACCATTCATAAGAGGGGGGAAAAAAAGGAAAAAATATTTTACACAGAGGTAGGTTGTTGTAAACTTAAAGTACAAAATACAGTCCATTAATAGATGGTAGGTGGTATGTTGTGCCTGAGACCGAGTCTCCTAGAAAGTGATCATGGAGAATGTTATACAATGCCTGAAGTAGTTTCTCTTAAAAATAATAGTTTGCTTAAGAGGCAAAAAAAACGGAGAGGGAGGGAAATAGTCTCTTTAAATTGATGTGTCTGCACAGAAGTCTCCCTGAGTGATTCTCTGAGTGCAGAGAGGTCCTTTTCCCAGTGCAAGGAGCATGGGGCTACGTGGTACAGGCTGCCAAGCTTGCAAGGCTCGCCTGCTGCAGTTTGTCTAATTGTGTCTCAAGAGGCAGCATCTATGTCCAGCTGCATCCTTCCTCGCCTCCAGGTCTCAGCACCGTGAGGTTACGGGGACCATAGGCATAACACCTTGTAGTGTTGAAGTCAATGGCGGTTTTGTTACTGACTCAAGTAACCTCATCTTTGGTCAAAAATACCTCTTCACTTTCCATTTTGCTTCCCAAAACCGTGTTCTTAGAACCAGTAAGATCCTGCATGTGCAACTGTGTATACACCTTAGCTACTTAATGTGTGTAGGTACACCTGTATACATACACACCTGCATGTGGACTTCTCCTATATTTGGTTCTGACTTTAGGCAGCTGTTAAAAACGTAGATTCATGTAATAATGTACCAAACACATGAAACCAGTGTTCTAGACTGTAACCCGTAGCATATGTTTAAGAAAATGCAAAATAATAAGCATTTTAGACACTTTACTACTTTCAGCTTTGACCCTATTACCACTGGGCAGTTTGTTTGGCCTGTTTGCTCCTCATATGAGTTTCAACTCTCACAAAACCTGAAAATTCGTGTGGCATAACAGCTTTAAAAAATGACAAGATACTACCAATGTGCACGGTAATCCCTTGTTCTTATACCCTTCACACTGTTCAGACATAGTCATGGATATGCATAGTCCTTTTATATTTACTTCTCCAGCTGTATTTTTGTTGAAATATTTATTCACAGCTGCATAATAAATACAGTTTGATTTGTACCTAATTGTAGTAACTGATTTTCATTATTTATGAAAGTCATTGTCAGAATTCATTTATAGTTTTGACTGTGGAGAAACTTACAGCAACAACTTCATATGACCGCTGCAATAAAATAATTAACTGACTCACTTAAAACAAGTCAATGAACAGGGCATTAACTCTTGATATTTCAGGAATTGTTTGCACTTTTGTACTCACACTTCTGCAATTCTATTACTTTCTGATTGATAGAATTCTGTTCTTGTTGTATTATAAGCTTTAATTATCTAATGTATTTTTATATTAAATGACTAATTTTGGGGAAATTAGGATGCCTGTCTGATTCAAAAATTGAATGTGTGTTCTAATTTATTCCCAGAGCTATGAAATAATTGTGGGCTAGGGTGGAAAGCATTATGGGTATAGGCATGCAAATGAGCTTGCCAAGTGTCTGTATACCATAAAACATCTTAAATCTGTGGATATAAAAGTAGGATGAAGACACAGCCATTAAAAAGGCAGTCATTTTTGAGTGTCGCATAATTTAGACACTTTAAGTTACTGAAGTGTCACAAGTTTATTACACCTAATTTATTAATACAATCATTTGGGATTCACTTATGTCTCTTGCTCTGCCCCAAAACAGAGGCTAAAAGTCTGTTTAAAATGCACAGGCTCTGCTTCAGGAGTAAAAACCTAAAATGTTTCTCAAAATACGGAGACACAAAAAATAACAACTTTACTGTAGTCCTTGCAGGTAATTGGTGGCCACGTTCCTGTTTATTTATAGTTGTGTGTCAAAGTAGGACAGAGAGATCCAATAAAGACCAAGTGAGTTTGGTTCCCATTTAGTTTTTCCATTGCTACACTAGGTGACATCTGTACAGGGAAGATAGCCTGTTGCTTTGGCCTCTAACCAGCTCAAAAAAGAAAGGAGAAAGAAGATAATCTTGTCAAATACCTTGTTACTGCTTTCACACTCTGAGGAAGGGGGCGAGGGGGGAGGAAAAAAAAAAAGGAAAAAATTAGTTTGTCGTTTATTTTTAATCCTTTTGTGTGCTGAATTGGCTTTTCTTAGTTTGCAGGTTCTATTACGTTTCTTTCCTACCCAGGAGCACTTCTGATGTGGTTTAAGCAGTTGACAAAACAGTGCTGAAGTGTAGTATGAGTGAAAAGGGGCACCACAGAGAGCTGGAGACAAAAGAATCCACCTGATTGTAATAAATGTGGAGTTTTGACAAAACACCTTGTGTGATATCTGAGACAATTATACACATGAAGAGTTTTTACTTTTAGGTTCTTTTAAATAAATAAATAAAATTCTCACCTTTTGTTATCTTTTTTTCCCCTAATCAGGACAGAATTTTACCCTAAGGCAGTTAGGAGTTTGTGAACCAGCAACTCGTCGAGGACTGGCGTTTTGTGCGGAAATGGGGCTCCCTCACAGAGGTTACTCTATCAGTGCAGGGTCAGATGCTGATACTGAAAATGAAGGAGTGATGTCTCCAGAGCATGCCATGAGACTTTGGGGCAGGGGGGTCAAATCAGGGCGCAGTTCCTGTCTGTCGAGCCGTTCCAACTCAGCCCTCACACTGACTGATACCGAACATGAAAACAAGTCCGACAGTGAAAATGGTAAGTTCTTACGCATATGCCCATATATAAATCAATGTTTTATTTGCTGTTTTGGCTGACATTCGATAATTTTAAATCATTACAGGGATGGCCTTGAATTATTTAACTTTTTTTTTTTCCCCTCTTCTTCCTAGCAAAGTCAATATTCAATATCAGTCCTAACTAATGCAAGCTTTGGGTGTGATGTTTTAGCTGTAATTTTGAAAGAGTTTGATCACAAAAAAGATTAGCTCTGTTTTATCTCAGGCCATGTCACCTGTTACCCTTTGCGGAACAGCTAAGTGGTGATAAAGTTGATCCCCAAGGCCAGCTTGCAATCAAAGGTTTCATTGTAAACTCTTCTTCAAGACATCCTCGAGAAGTTGCAGAATCTCAGAGTGGATGAAGGAATGCAAAGAATAGCTTATTAACAGGGCTTATGTGATTGGAAAACAAATTTGATCGTGCTTTAAACTTCCTAGTTGATGAGAGCAATTGGAATTGTGGTGAAGAGGGACATGTGGCCTTTGATGTGCCTGGGGGACTGGATTACTGTGCAATTAAAATCTGCAAAGAAAACCTAAACAGCAGCTTTGTAGGATGTGGGGGTATGACCATTGTATATTAAGGCTTAGTGTTTAAATGAAAAGAGCTTAATACAATTGACTGATTAATTTTTAAAGCTTTTCAAAAATTTTTTGCCTCCACTTGAGGTTATGAACAGAACCTAATGTAGTATTAAATGCGAAATGCACAAATCTTAAAAAACATTTTATCTTCTCTTTATTTGCAGATCTTCAGCTTTACTAGAATTAAAATGGTTGTTCTATTAACTTTATGACTTTCTATATGACAAATTCAAGAGGAATAAAGAAAAAAGAATAAAAATAAAAATTAGAATGATGGCTATTACCTGCACGTCTACGTTTCATTTTATTAATTTATTAAACCTATCTGCTCAGCTATACAAAAGTCAGAGCAGTTTGAGTTCTATCCTCTGACAATAGCTGTAACACTGTGGCAAACAGCAATGTAGGTGTGTATGTATGGTAATCTTTAAAAAAAAAAAAAGCATTTTTATTTTAAACTGCGAGCAATAATGTTTAGTCCTACCTATTTGTTATTTTAACTTAAGTTTGAGGAGACAAAACCAAAGCCATATTTTGATATTACTCATACTTATTGCCTTTCCACTGGTGGCTGATTCTAACTGAAGATGCCTGTGTGAGAAAGCTGGCTGTTTCAGATGGGATCCTCCTTTTTGTGTTGGACTTAATGCTGCCTGGTACCTGGGGAGACAGCACTCAGTGTTTGCAGGTGTCTTGTCTCGTGCTTGGAAAATTGTTTTGAATTAGAGGCAAGTTTTGAAAGAGGAGGACCTAGGTAGGTACTTGCCTACCTCCTTTTGGCAGTGGAGTTTCTGTTGGATGACTCTTGGTATTTCAGCTGCAAAGCAACCTAGAATAAATTGTTGAGCAGTCCTGTGATTTTGCTTTTGAAAGGTCTATGCTGAAACAAATTCTCTTGAGTCTTTTGTAAAACCCTAGGTTAATGATCTTGAAAGTACATATTTACATATACATGCACATACACACGATTTCCTTAGAGAGTCATATCTTTACATTGCCAAGGAGGTGACTGCTTCAGAAGTGCAGTAGGATTTGGTATACTTTTTTATAAACTTTATATTTACAGTTTTTGAAAAAGCAAGATGCCTGATTACAATATGCCAAAATCTCCTCCATGAGCTTGAAGTTAGAGGTTTTTTTTTCACATGTGAGAAGACTGTGAATGTGTTAGAAAAGGCATTATTCTGCACTGATTAAAATTATGCAACAAACGTCTGATGTTTGATACAACTTCAAAGCGGAGTTTAGTCACTAAAAAGGATTGCAGTTGTTTTATTTATTGATAGAGAGGCCAGCAGTCCAACCTAAGAAGGCACTAGGACTGCTGTGAGTCTAATGAAATTTTGATGGCTTGGGAGTCCCCTGGGGTTATCAAACATGTATAACTCAGACCATGTCATGGGTCGCCATTTCAGTGGAGATGTTACAGAAGTGGTGAAAAGCTTAATCTTCTTTGGTATTTTTTCACTGGATTTTTGTTTCCACTGAACATGGAAGATTTGGCTGAGAAATGGTTTTATACATATAGTTAGAACTCAGTACGTTAAATGCTCACAGTAGAATAGAGAATATAATTTAAAGCCAGGGAAGCCATATCATCCTGGCAGGCACAGGTGCTCTAATCAAAAGACCAAACTGCAGGTGTGAATTTTGTTAATTTATGGCCCGAAGTTAATAACTGTGCCAGTATACTGTTACAGTCTGATACATCTGATAGCGCTTTGAAACCAAAGTTAGACTTACCAGGAGTACTCTGTACTGCGTTCTCCTTTGCTGCGTGTGAAAGCTTCTTGACTGCATTTTGATGGAATTGTTTTATAGACAGATGCATTTCTATGCAGCATGTTTGTTTACCTCTAAGGTAGATAAGGAGCAACAGATTATGATGAGCAGAACACAACACCAGATCATACTTACCTCACCTAAGGCTCCAGTTCTTGAGTGATCCCACTGCTCACGCGCTAAAACTATCCAGTGTTTACATAGTCCATTACGATAAGCAGACCTTATTGGAGTTAACAAGACTATTCATGATGTTGAGAACTGTGACTTATCTTACAGGTTTATGAACTCGGGATTAACCGTTTGTTGAATGTAGTTGAGGTTTTCTTTCTCACCAGTTAGGCAAGAAGAGGACTTTGACATGAAAACATTATTTCCTTTCCTTCCTTGTAACCATTGTATGTATTTGCTCTTCTGAAATAGTTGTGGACTGCATATCCCTCAGGAGGGCGAAACTGGAGATTCTGTTGCATAGCTATAGTGAAAAAGTGGAAATAGTTTATTGAAGATATTAACTTCTATTTGTCGAGGTTTCAACATTATATTTCTAAGATCCTACAAAAACAACCTACATTTGTGAATAATATTGGCAGGACTAGAAATTTCTTTAAACAAACAATATTGCACATGATTAAGTTGCAAAATTTTAAATATGCTAATAACATACCATGAATGCCAGCAGTTTGGTGTGGTGTGTGTTTGTTTTTTAGAAAGCATTAGGACTGTTTTCCAAACATACGGTTTATAGATGTGTTCTTATGTCAAAGTTTTAGGTTACTGCTCAGTAAATCATTCTGAAGAGCAATATTTTTCTTTCAGCTCATTCAAGTTCTAGCTATGATTCTTGGCATCATATTCGAAGAGATTTGTCATGTCAGCCTCCCTGAAGGAGGAACCTGCATCCGTTGGTCTGGGCAACCTACCAGTGTCACGTGCAGTATGATGCGTCAGTTGGAGCACACTGAGCACGCGTGTGCTTCTTCAGGCTTTCTTCTCCATTCCCATTGCAAGTTATTAAATAAATGCTGCATCAAGAAATTTATGTTAGTAATTGTTCTAGGAGCTGTGGCTTTGAAATACAAGCAACTCATCTTTTACATGCTTGCCAGTAATTTTATTGTTAAGCTGTTCTAAGACTACTAAAGCTTATCTTTTAAGCTTAGTAAATATTCCAGCAGACTGTGAGCTAGAGGTTATAGTTATGCTTCAAATGGCCCTTTTGCTTAAAGAGTCGGTATGTTTTTAAGATATCTTAGAATCCACTTATTTAAATTATTTTTAAATCCATTAAACTGCAATCCCTGACTCCATGAAACATGAGAAAGCTAATAAGCAAAACATGAAAGTTAATTGAGCAAGTTACTCGTAAAGTCCAGCTCCGTGTGGAGTTACTTATTTATTTTAAAGTTGTATGACTGGTTTTGTATACGCTTTTTGTGCCATCCTGAAACTCAAGTTGTGGCAATGATTGTGTTTGGAAAGTCACTCACTGAAGTCTTAAGCAAGTCCAGGTCACCTTCTATCCCTTTGATAGCAGTATTGACAGTGCTTGTGAAAGAGTTGGGCACTCTGGATGGATGCGTGCCATGTAGTTCACTCTGCCCACAGCCACGAAGAGTAGCGGGGTGTCCAGAAAGTAGTTCTGATAGCACTGGAATGTAGGGGTTTATTTTCTTATTTAGTGGAAGTTTTGCCTTGATGGGGGTTTGTTAGAAGACCTGAGGACATCCAGATGTAGCCAAATAAAAAGAAGAAACGGAGAGAGGAGTATGAGATTGTGGCCTCAGGCAGTTGTTCTGAATTGGTTAGATAAATGATTTGAAACTTGGACCCATTTTTCACAGACACAGAAAAGCAGATATTGCTGGTAGAATGTTCATTGCTGAGGATTTCTGTGAAGAGAAAGTACCAATTTATCGGCTGCATGGGCACCTGCTTGCTTCCTCTCCACCTTAGCTGGTTTCTGAAGATAGCATTCTTGTGAACCTAATACTCTCTTGTCCTTCCAGAATGGTGAATTTACTGGCATTCAGATCTCTGAAAACCAAGAAATACATTGGTAAGATACTTGTCAAGACATTTTAAATCTCTTTTCTCTAACCCAATACATCTATAACGTATACTTGAACTCTGCATTCTTAAATAATGCACATCATTCAGGAAATAGTGTTACATGTTTCCACCTGTTTAACATCCTTCTTTACGCTAAGGCAAAACTTGACTTAGATGAACTCTACTGAATAGGAGCTGCTTGGTACCTGCTAGCCAAATGCTGAGCCTACTGATCAAAACCAGCCATATAGCTGATGAATTAATATTCATCTTACTGCCATACCATCATTTACAGCTTCTTCACTCTTTCCCACAGTATTCCATCTAGTAATTATCTACCCCTCATTAAGCATGCCAGTACTTCTTAAATGCTGCTTTGCTGCTGGGAAATTTCATGATCAGGAAATCAGTCTGGTTTATTGTTGACAGAAGTCAGCTTTGAAATAATATTTAATATCTAAACAGACGTATCAATTTTTCTTTGATTACAGACACAAAATGTATGGAACAGAAATCCATACATGAAAATAGTCATCCCTGTTTTTTTGCAATATTATCACAAATTTTCTATAGTTACGTTGATTTTCAGATTCTGTTATATTATGATTGTAGTTCTATGGATATATTTCAATAAATCTTCCTAGCATTCACTGTTAATTCAGTCAACAATCATGTTGATAATTCCTTTGGCTAGTGATAGCCAAAGAGGGAACCACTGGACTGACCTTTTTCCAGTAACCTTTTGGGATCTCCTGGATTTCAGAGGTTTAAGTGTCTCTGAACTTGCTGTTGAGGAAAGGCATGAGATTCCAAAGTGCCATCTTAATGATGCTTTCATGATAGGAGTCTGGTACAGAACATCAGGCCAGAGGATGAAGCTCTTTGAAAACACTTAACCAAATTTTCTGATGCATAGGAACTGTAGGCTTAACAACAGTTGACAGCAATAAATTTAGAATTGGGGTCCGCAAGGAAAAACAAATCTCTAAGAAGCAAATTTCTGAGAATTCACTCTTGGCTGTTAAGCTTATAAATCCTTCTAGCACTAAGGAGTGGTGAAAGAGGTGTTTAAAGACCAACTGTCATAGCTCAGGATATCTCCAGAGATCTGAATTTCAAGAAAGAACCATGCAGAAAATGGAAGG